GATGTTTTGAATGGGGAAAGAGTTTGAGTAGTTCAACAATCATGCACATCAGTGTTTATGTCACTCAGTGTTAACTCTCTCGATTCTCCGTCTCCCTCAATGTTTGATGACCGTCCCAGTGTTTCCCTGCGTATTGACTGTCCGTCTCACTGTGCAGTGTTTAATATCTGTCTTTCAGTTTTCAATCTCTATCTCGTGTTAAATAGTTCTCTCTGTATTTAATGTCCGTCCAACTCCTAGTGTTCAATATCTGTCTCATCGTTTATTTTCCGTCTCGCTGTTCAATATCCGTATCTCAAGGTGCAAGGAGTGTATGATTGTAAACGTTTTGGATTTAGCTACAGATTTTGGAACTTTCCGATGGTAGGTAAATTCTCACCTACTTAACGGATTTTTCAGCGGAGTTTCATTGCAGTGTTTAAGGGTTCTCGGATAATGCTCTTATAAATTCATTATTTTACATCTGTGTTTCATTTTGTAAAAAAGATTTCAAGTATAAAGATGATGACAATGACATGTCCGTTCTATAATTCGAGTCGAAATATTGATTGTCCACGCTGTCTTGTTGTTTACGTAAGCCGCTGTGCGTGACATTGTTAAGAAGTAAAAGACGCGCATTGCGCGCGCGATGTTTTGATACTGCTCGTCCATGGCCGAGGAGGCTCATTTTTCCGTCATATTGTTTGATACTGCTCGGCCATGGCCGAGGAGACTCATTTTCCCGTCATATTGTTTGATACTCCTCGGCCATGGCCGAGGAGGCTCATTTTTTTGATACTGCTCGGCCATGGCCGAGGAGGCTCATTTTCCCGTCATATTGTTTGATACTGCTCGGCCATGGCCGAGGAGACTCATTTTCCCGTCATATTGTTTGATACTCCTCGGCCATGGCCGAGGAGGCTCATTTTTTTGATACTGCTCGGCCATGGCCGAGGAGGCTCATTTTCCCGTCATATTGTTTGATACTGCTCGGCCATGGCCGAGGAGACTCATTTTCCCGTCATATTGTTTGATACTCCTCGGCCATGGCCGAGGAGGCTCATTTTTAAAAAATGATCCTGAGAGAGAGAGAGATAGAGGGAGAGAGAGAGAGAGAGAGAGAGAGAGAGAGAGAGAGAGAGAGAGAGAGAGAGAGAGAGAGAGAGAGAGAGAGAGAGAGAGAGAGAGAGAGAGAGAGAGAGAGAGAGAGAGAGAGAGAGAGAGAGAGAGAGAGAGAGAGAGAGAGAGAGAGAGAGAGAGAGAGAGAGAGAGAGAGAGAGAGAGAGAGAGAGAGAGAGAGAGAGAGAGAGAGAGAGAGAGAGAGAGAGAGAGAGAGAGAGAGAGAGAGAGAGAGAGAGAGAGAGAGAGAGAGAGAGAGAGAGAGAGAGAGAGAGAGAGAGAGAGAGAGAGAGAGAGAGAGAGAGAGAGAGAGAGAGAGAGAGAGAGAGAGAGAGAGAGAGAGAGAGAGAGAGAGAGAGAGAGAGAGAGAGAGAGAGAGAGAGAGAGAGAGAGAGAGAGAGAGAGAGAGAGAGAGAGAGAGAGAGAGAGAGAGAGAGAGAGAGAGAGAGAGAGAGAGAGAGAGAGAGAGAGAGAGAGAGAGAGAGAGAGAGAGAGAGAGAGAGAGAGAGAGAGAGAGAGAGAGAGAGAGAGAGAGAGAGAGAGAGAGAGAGAGAGAGAGAGAGAGAGAGAGAGAGAGAGAGAGAGAGAGAGAGAGAGAGAGAGAGAGAGAGAGAGAGAAGAGATAAGAGAGAGAGAGAGAGGAAGAGAAAAAGAGATAGAGAGAAAATGATCCTCCTCGGCCGAATGAGCCTCCTCGGCCACGTGAGTATGGTTTTTATTTTATTTTTAAAAATGAGCCTCCTCGGCCACCGTCATATTGTTTGATACTCCTCGGCCATGGCCGAGGAGACTCATTTTTCCGTCATATTGTTTGATACTCCTCGGCCATGGCCGAGCAGGGTCATTTAAAAAAAATGATCCTCCTCGGCCGAATGAGCCTCCTCGGCCACGTGAGTATGGTTTTTTATTTTATTTTTAAAAATGAGCCTCCTCGGCCACCATACTACAGCTAGTAATTTATGTTTTGCAAATAGAAAACAATAAAGATTTAAGGAAGACACCATCAATTTCTAATTCTGACAATAAACGTTTTGAACCAAAAACTATAATTTCAGTTTTAGTTGGATTCAGAAGAAGGAAGTGATTCCTCATCCAGGTCTCGATTTCTCTAAAACAGGAGGGCAGCCCAGGAACCCTGACCGGATGGGGCTTAACTTTGAAAGTAAAAGAGTTGGAGACTTCCGGTTTTTTGTAACATGTTCCTCTTTTAAAAGTAACGTTACCTCTCCAGGAGGAAAATTCAAGACAACGTAATTGTTGAGTTATCTCAAAATCTCCAGAAAAGTCCCCTTTCGGGCCGATCAAAAGTTTGCAACTTTAACTTTGCGGATTCCTGTACTCTGGTTGGCTGAATTGTGTCTCGTGGTAGCTGCCTGAACATTGGAATACGCCACGCGTGCAAATCATGCTTGTTGTCGCGCGCGAGGTCAAGCCGTCTGTTTAAATTAAACCAACTCTAGTACCACCACCAGCCGGTAACTTTTCCTGGGAGGTCTTCGATGAGGACTTAATATTCTGTAGCGGATGAAAATGACTTGTAGATCTGGTGATCATCAGCATAGCCATGGATCAGAAATTGCTTTGCTTTTACAGAAGAGTAAATTGAGCGGATGTAGATATTGAGCAACACAGGGCCAAGGACAGAGCCCTGTGGGACACCAAACTTTATTACAATTTCTAGTCAGATTCTAGGTCACCTATCTTGACTTTTTGACAACGACCACAGATGAAGCTGGTGAAACATTTCAAGGCTGTTCCCGCAATCTCAATCCCACACTTCAATATATTGATCAGTTTGATACGGTCAACTGTGTCGAATGCAGCACTCAGTGTCTAAAAGCATTACAACTGTTGCTGTGTTTTCATTGGTGGCTATGAGGAGGTCATTGACTATGGTAATGAAAAGTGTTTCTGTGCTGTGATGCTTTTTGTAACCAGACTGGTGGTCAATGTTGAAATTATTCTTGGCTGGATGTTCATTGAGGCATTTTAATACAAAGCGCTCAATGAGTTTACCGATGAATGTAAGATTAGAGATGGGTCTATAATTCTTTAAGTTCTCAGTGTTTAGGGAATCTCCTTCGATCAGGGGAGTGAGATGTGCTAACTTGATTCCTTCCATACTTCTAGTTGAAAGAGAAACGTTGATAATATCACAAAGGGTAGGGAGGCATTAGCTCAAGGTGCTCTGACAAGAGTTCTTTAGGTAGTGGATCAATCGATGAGGTTTTGATGCCAGATTCTTTGATCAATTCTCTTACTTCAAAAATAGTAGCTTTTCTAAATTCAGATAATGCCTGGCCATTGAAGTTTGGAGAACTATTAGTCACAGTAGTGTTGGGAAATGATGTTCGGATTTTTCATTTTCTCATTTTTTTCAGTAAAATACTGGTTAAAGGCATTTACAGTTTCCTGAAGATTTTCTGAAGATGGTAAAGTGAGGTTCTTTTCTTTATCCAGGAAAGTGTCTACAAATTTGTAAAGGCTCATTTGTGAGTGTTTGTATTTTTGGAAAGTATTAGAGTAAAACAGTTTTTTCTTTTTGACAGTCAGCTCTGAACAGTGCTCTTGCAAATGAACAAAGATAGAATGATCTATGTAAGACTCGACTTTTTCAGCCTTTCTTCTTTCGGCTCTTGCAACTTTGTATTCGCAATCAAACCAGGGAGCAGTGAGAGTGTCTTTGATGGTTTTGGAATATTCTGGAGCATGTACATTTAGTATATGTTGACACCCATTGTTAAATTGAGTCATAACATCAGAGAAGCTCTTTTCTTCAAAAACCAACTCAGATAGAGCAACAGATAAATTACCTTTCCTGATCTATGTCTATGATCTTTCTAAAGCGTATGACTTTCTCACATTTGTCGATGTCAGGAGGCTTATGAAGCTTTAATATAATTGGATAGTGGTCACAGGATGGGAAGCTTTTGGCCATGTTTTGCATTACCTCGACAGAAGTTTGATCTACTACTTTGTGCGAAGAAATAACAGGATCAAGGATGTGACCTTTTTTATGTGTTGGTGAGTAGACAAGTTGATGAAGCCCAAAAGATGATAGTATGGTGCTCCACTCGCTCACATGGGCAGAGATTCTGTCTAGGTGCATGTTAACATCTCCACATAGCAAGAAATGCTTGTATTTTAAGAATGCATCCGTCAGGAAATCTTCAAAATCAGAGAGGAAATTTCCCAAGGACCCAGGTGGATAGTAGATACAGGAGCAGAAGACGACAGACCCATCAACGAGTTTCAGTTTTGCGTTAATTGGCTTAAATAATCCGTCATTGTTGGCAAAAACTTTGATTAGACAAACACATGATTTGTAGATTATGGCAACACCTCCACCTGATTTGTCTTTGCGATACACTTGGTAAAGTTTATAGCCCCAGGGAAACAGTGGCCTAACGTTGCATGTTGCCCACCCCCCCCCCCTCCCAGTGGCGAAACATATCAGTGTCATGTGTGCGGCCCCCGCTAAATAATACCACCACCCTCCCCTTTGCCTTTTAAATGTTTCTAATATCCTGGTTTTAGAGAATGCACTAGTAAAATTTCTAAAAAAGTGTTTTTCTAGAGCAAAACGCGCAGTTTTGCTAGTACTTCAAAAATTGTCCCATATTCATACAACGATTTGGCGACCCCCGCCCCCCCCTCCCCCCCCCCCCCACACAGCGGAGTCAGCGGGCCCTTCCTTACTCCACTGTCTGCAAAGAAGCCTTAGTTTATTGGTCAACTACTATCACAAAATCATACCTTCTTTTACTTTCTTGAAGGTAACAAGAGCATCCCAGTCTTAAATCTAGACTACCTCTTTTTTCACTAGGAATTATACACATTCAATTATTTGAATTTAAATAAAATATTGAGCCTTGTACCATATATGATAAATTTTGATTTTGAATAACTTTAGCAAGTTCGAGAACTACCAGTGGTGATATTTGAGGATCCTTTCAAGCTTATCTACACACTATCTTAGCTGTCAAGAGAATGGTAAGTTTCAACAAATTTCCATATACAAATAGGGTAAGTAATAAATCGGGCATGCAATAGTTTGTCGAAGACCGGTAGTGGGTCTTAACGTATATTATCTTCAACTTGCTTTATACCTGTATAATATTAAAGATGGCTGGTATCAATGGTATCAGCCAGTGGTGGTACATTTCATTATTGATAACATTTTTAGTTGAAGATATTAACTTCGTTCATGGTGATCCTCACATTGCAACTAATTATACAAATCAAAACTCTTATTTAGATATAAAGTTATGTATTTAAACTTTCATGCATTCGTCCCAAATGCCTGAAAGTACCCACTACCTTTACTACATTCAGTACCGGGAGGGCGACAATTGATCCCCCAACAATTGACCCCACGACAATTGACCCCCCGACAATTGACCCCAAATTATATTGTCGGGGGGTCAATTGTCGGGGGGTCAATTGTCGGGGGGTCAACTGTCGGGGGTCAATTGTCGGGGGATCAATTGTCGGGGGGTCAATTGTCGGGGGGTCAATTGTCGGGGGGTCAATTGTCGGGGGGTCAATTGTCGGGGGTTCAATTGTCGCGGTACCTCAGTACACACTACCTGTACTACATTCAGTACCCACTACCTGTACTACATTCAGTACCCACTACCTGTACTACATTCAGCACCCACTACATGTACTACATTCAGCACCCACTACCTGTACTACATTCAGTACCCACTACATGTACTACATTCAGTACTCACTACCTGTACTACATTCAGTACCTACTACCTGTACTACATTCAGTACTCACGACCTGTACTACATTCAGTACCCACTACCTGTACTACATTCAGTACCCACTACCTGTACTACATTCAGCACCCACTACCTGTACTACATTCAGTACCCACTACCTGTACTACATTCAGTACCCACTACCTGTACTACATTCAGCACCCACTACATGTACTACATTCAGTACCCACTACATGTACTACATTCAGCACCCACTACCTGTACTACATTCAGTACCCACTACATGTACTACATTCAGTACTCACTACATGTACTATAACATTCAGCACCCACTACCTGTTCAGTAGCTAGATGGTAGCGCTGCTTCCACCTGACACCTAGACACTGCACTAGGAATCTGTAAAGTAGATTAGATTACTCTCCTTCTCCTATATATATATTATATATATATTCTACTTTAACGAGTATTATATACAGGGTGGCCCAAAAGTGACTACCCACACGCAACCTTTTGATAACTCACGTAATTCGTCTCCAAATTGCACCAAAATTTCAGATATTATAGATATGGGTCAAACTTAGATTTTCTAAAGGTTTCGTAAGCCACGCCCAATTACAGTGGGCGTGGCGTGACACTCCCTCTTTTTCACTATTGTCTTCATAAAATGAGAACGCTTTAAGCTAAGAACTCACAATTTTTGCACACATTTGGCTTGATAATTTAAAACCTTTCCCAAAGTTTCAAGTTCATTGTTCAAAATTTGGCTGTGTAATGACCATTTCAAAATCCATCAGATACGTGATCCGAGCACTCAGTCAGTGATCTCGTCACTTGGTTAATATACTGGTATATATACTTCTTAACGTGATGTTACAGCGGTAGTCCTTTCTGTAACCCTATTTGTCTGAACTAAGAGGGAAGTAGTTTCCTAAGTTCATGGCCATTTCACGCGGTTTCCATTTAGTGGGACACGATCTATCGTTATGGCAAAATGTAAGGAACAGTAAGTAAAGTAACTTTATGATGTTATTTAAGATCAGGAGTTGGTTGGTTGGCCAGGAGAATACTCAAATGTAACAGGATTTCTCAAGATTGTATTTGGTGAATGTTAGTTGGAACAAACTCACCAATCAGAGAACAGTATTCACACCAAGTGACCCACTAGGCTTCTAAACACTGTATTATATATTTCATACTCAGCGGACATCTTGTTTCCTAACCTGTCACGTCTGTGGTAATAATAAGCGATTAATTGAGCCCCAGTGTCCTAGTCAGTATGATGATGTTAGTAACTCCCTACAAATATTATCTAACAGCACGGTCAGATGTGTGAGGTTGTGTGTAATCTAGGAACTACATTCAAATTTACGGCGCTAGTTTGTCGGCCACACTAACGTAGTCAGGAGGCTAGGTACTAGATCACGTGACCGATTGTAGCCAGCGAGAAGGACAGGATTTGACATGTGACCAAATTAGATTCAAAACCTTGCAGGTTTACTGAACTGAAAGGGTAGGGAAAGCGTGAAATTCACACCAAGCTGTAACTTGCCTTGTAGTGCCGTTTGTGTTACGTTTTATAATTCGTATTATTAGTATGTATTCTAATTATTGTCGTTGATCTCATTATATAGCTCCCTGTGAATTATGATTCAAGATAAACTTATCTGAATAGGGCAAACGACATTTCCTGTACAGTAAACAGCTGTGAGCTGCGGTATATCGGGGTTTTACTGGGTTATAAACACCTCCGGGTTAGAATAATCAGCCGGGCGGGCGGGATAGATTCTGATAATCCCGGCTCCCGCTGTTAGTTTTTTCCCGCTTAATAAATAACCCCAGCACAGCTTCTATAATCCCGCCCCGCTAATTTGGCTCAACAAGATTTGTTTTGATATTCCATGAGGATTTCATCCGCGCACTGTCACGTGTTTTGATGATGTGTATCACGTGACTTATTACTACGACGGCATTGGTAAAAATGTCACGTGACCTATGGCTATTTATAGTTCTTATAAATACACTTGATCTACGTATCGGTTTAATTGCAGGTGCTGGCAAAACTCCAGCACACTTCTTACATTACTTGGACTCTTACATTACGTGGACCAGTTCCAGAACTTGTCTAGACGGTTACATTTGTCCGGTAATTTTGTCGTAGCAATTACACTGTTTGATATGAGCCATGTATTATACAGTATAGTCGTCTACTTTGATGAAAATCATAACAATAATCGCATTGTATAGTGACAACACTATATAATGACAAGCACTTTATAATGACAGCTGATATTTGTCACTATATAGCGTACAAAACGCACTATAGTGACAAGGTCTGAAAGAACATCGTGGTTGTGGGTCGGATAGTTTTTTACTGTCTGTTCATGAAGCACCAGTCGAGCCTGACAGCCAGGAACAACACAGGCCCAGTAGGACTTTGTGATGACGGATCAGCTAGTGACGATCTGTAGCACGTTCGATGTTACTCGACCTTACTATTTGAAGACTATATGAGTTGTCAAACAAGGTGAGGTTTGCTGTTGAACTGGTTCTACGTTTTGATAGAATCACTGCAAGGTTTCCAAGCCTTGGGTGTGAAACAAATATAACGTTCAGATCATTGCTGGTCTTTCCGTGTCCGAGGATTTTCCACATATGGAGAATGATGAATCGCTCCCGCCTTCGTCGAAGAGACATCAGAGATAGATAGACCAGGCGATCCCAGTAGTGGAGATCGTGCATTCCTGATATTCTGGCGGTGAATGCTTCCTGTGCACTCTCCAGTTTTTGGATATCGCTGATACTTGAGGGATGCCATAATGGACAGCAATATTCAATCAGAATCCGCACCATCGATTTGTATAGTGTCAGCATGATGGAGTGAGATCGTGTGTGAAATACACTGAGAACCCATGATGCTTTTTGGCGAGCTTTATCTGCAAAGTGCAATGGCTCGTATGTGAGGGAACCAAGAGAGATCACTTGACACTATGACGCCTAAATCACTGAGCTGATGTATTGGCCCAATACAAGTGTAGTGTCTTTGGAAACTGAGTATTGATAATGTTCAACCACAAATGGAAGCTCAGATAGTACATATTGGTGGTTGAATTTGTGACACATTTTCTCAAATTTGTCTTTGTGAAGGGCCATATTATTTCTTTCAGACCAATCAATGACATTTTGCAGATCTTTTTGGAGGAGCTTTATGTCATGCTCTGATTTGATAGCAATGGATATGCGAGTGTCATCAGCAAAACATCGAACTATAAGAGTGCAATGTGCATGATACAATGTTCAATATCATTGATAAAAATCAAGAAAAAGATCGGCCCCAAAACCGTAACTTGTGGAACTCCGCTGATCATCAGTGCAAGGATGGACAGATGACCGTCAACAACAACTGCTTGTTTCTGGTCTGAGAGGAAAGATTCTATCCACTTTATGATTTTAGGATGAATTCCCTAGAGTTGGAGCTTTCTCAGTAAAGTTTGTGGTCAACTTTATTGAAAGCTCGAAAGCCTTGGCATAGTCGAGGTATATTGAATCAAAATCTGAATTGTTGGTTAGAGAATCCAAAACGTCATCAAAATGGCGGAGAAGTTGAGTAAGGCAACTCCGACCATATCTAAATCCGTGCTGCTTACTACATATTATGAGGTTATTGATCTCTAAATAGTTTAGGTCAGCTTTTTCTTATCACCCTCTCGTATACTTTAACCACATGAGAGGTGAGTGATATAGCTCGGTAGTTAGCTGGTTTGGGTCGACTATCCTTCTTCTGGAGAGGAAATACGTGTGAGAACTTATAGAAACTAGGGACCTCCCCAGTAACTAAAGAGCGGGACCAGATGTTGTGCATTGGTTCTGCTAGGGCTTTCTTGCAGTTCTTGAGAAGGGTGACTGGAATTTCGTCAGGACCTGATGCAGCATTAGGTTTGATGTTTTCAGTGGCCTTAATAGTTAATGATGTCGTCCACGGAGTAATTCAGCATATTGAAATATTTCTAAGAAAATTATTGAGATTTGAGCGATTTAAATATTTCTAAGAAAATTATTGAATGTGGCGCTAACGGCTAACTAATGTTTTCTTGATTTTAATGACATCAAATAAAAAAGTATTTGTAGCCCTTCTCGACAATTCCAGCAATAAAAGGAACATGAATAGTACATCTTACTACAGTTTGTAGAATGTATATGGCAGAGTGGCTCTCAAACAGTTGAAAAATAGCATTGATCTATTGAGAGCACATTCCATCTATTG